GTGGACTAAACTGAGTTGAAAAGTTCTTTACCATTTTGCAATTTTCGCGATAGTTAACAAGATATCAATTACTAACAATCACCGAATATTGGTTTTCAATAATTTTTTACTCAAGTACACTGAGAAAAATATCCAGGCTTTTTCCGATCATAATGGTCGGATTATCCTTTCAAAAAGTAACATAATGATCATTTCCGATGATCGGACAAAAAATCGATCACATTTAATCGGAAATAAATTCGGAATGTTCGATGAGAAATATCCGTTCGTTATCTTTTGAACGAACTATTCGATCACAGCTGCGTTCAGCAGATAAAACCGCTCAGTGAGCGGCTATTATGTCCGATTAAGTATCTGCACGTATGTATTTTTGATCGGATAACGTTAAGTGATCAAATACACAGTTGAATGAACAAGCATTGATCATTTAACATGCAAATTTTATTTAAAAAAAGGTTTATATTTACTTATAAGAATGTGGATTACTTTTTTCTCAATTTTCATAATTTCAAGCACTGTTTTTATATCCTGAGAAATTTCGTCGTCACATACTTTCTTTTCGATACTGCAATGATATTTATGCAGCTAAGAATAAGAACGAATGCGTAATAAAAATCAAATAAATATTCGCGCTAGAGACACGTGCTCGCTTAATCTCAATAGTAATGCCAACAGCCTAGAGAGCCTATAGAAACAGTCACATGAAATGATGACTGATCACATGATCAACTATTCTGTAATTGGCCAGCGCCTTTCAATTGATCGAATATCAAACTTAATTGGATAAAATACTCTCTTTTTATCCGTTCAAGTCTAACGTCAGATCAAGTTGTAGGTTTATCCGATGAAATTTTAACTGATAGGTATATGACGGTTCATATTCCGTTCAAATGTAATCGGAAATTATATTTCATCGGATAATCCTGGACCCGATCGAAATTGATTAGAGAAAGCACTAGAACGGTTATTTTCGATTAAAAACATTGGATGTTTTGTTAGTGTTACTATCAACCTTACAGAAAAACAGCAAGAGACAAAAATTGTTTATTTTCTTCTTATAGAGCTCTAATTCTTTTAGAATTTTTATCAACTTTTTAGTACTGCATTTTCTTATTGACAATTATTTTTATCAACATGAGAAAATGCCGTACTAAAAAATTTTGAAAAATTCTCAGAACTATATGAGAAGAAAACCAGTAATTTTTGTCATTTGCTGTTTTTCTGTAAAGTTGATAATATCTGAGTAAAAAATTATTGAAAACTAATATTCGGTATTTTTAATAATTAATATCTTGTTAATTATATATATTATATTGCGAAAATTGTAAAATGGTAGAGAATTTTTCGACTTATTATTTAGTTTACCCCTATGCGAAAATTTATCGTTACTCAAACACCCTATATATGGTACATTTGGGAAGATAGAAAAATTAATTTTAAATAATAAGAATCAATGTTATTTTTTAAGTCAGATTTTTCTAATACATTAGAAATTAATATTTTACATTTATTTTATTCAATTATTTTCGTATAAATTATATAATACATAACATTTGAAGTATTAAATTATTATTATACAGGGTGTCCCGACTTATTTTGCCAATCACTTTTGTGTAGATAGAGCGGACTAAACTGAGTCGAAAAGTCCTCTACTATTTTGCAATTTTCGCAATAGTCAACAAGATATTAATTACTAAAAATTGCAAAATATAGGTCTTGGATAATTTTTTACTCAAATACTATCAACTTTACAGAAAAACTGCAAAAGACAAAAATTATTTATTTCCTTCTCATAAATTTCTGAGAATTTTTTCAGAATTTTTTATCAACTTTTTAGTACTGCATTTTCTTATTTTTACCAACATGAGAAAATACGGTATTAAAAAATTCTGAAAAAATTCTCAGAAATTTATAAGAAGGAAATAAATAATTTTTGTCTTTTGCAGTTTTTCTGTAAAGTTGATAGTATTTGAGTAAAAAATTATTAAAAACCAATATTTTGCAATTTTTAGTAATTATTATCTTGTTAACTATTGCGAAAATTGCAAAATGGTAAAGAACTTTTCGACTCAGTTTAATCCGCTCTATCTACACAAAAGTGATTGACAAAAAAGGTCGGGACACCCTGTATATATAATTATTGAATAAATGTTGAATAGACATTGACCCGGTAAAAAATTCTTCATATTCTTATATAACTATATAAAATTGTATAAAAATATTGCTCATTTTGATTGATATTGTAAAAATATGTATAATATTATGTATAATATATAATATAACTATTGACCAAATGTCACAACTTTATACATCTGGTAATATTCAGCGTTCGTGGATCATCAAAGTAGTAGTTTGCGTACGATTGTAGAGGTCAAGCAGCATTGGATGTGGCATAGCTTTTGATGAGCTTTGGAGGACTATGTTCAAAACCTTAAACGGTCTAGCTCTTTAGGCTTATTCGCATTTTCGAAACGATCTTAATAATGTTGAATGACATATTAAAATCTGTAAATAATTAATTCTTATTGCGAAAAATATTACCTCGGCCGGGAGTCGAACCCGGATCTCTTACATTCTGTGCGAGCGTCCTAAGCCTTTAGACTACTGAGTAGTTTAATAGAGTTAGTGTTTCAAAACCGAAAAATCATTTCGGCGCGCATTTCTGGGTACTGCACACGTAATATATAAATTCATATAAGAATCATACAAGCATTAAGATCCAATTAGACCATTTAAGGCTTTGATTTCTATAGTTCAGGAAGAAATGTTTTTTAATCATAATTTTGTCGTGTCTTTTCTGAAATATGATGCTAATGAATAATACTTACTTTAATAATAAAACTGGATTAATTGTTGTAAAATTTTTTACCGGAAAATCAGTAAAATTTACATTGAATTAACGTTGAAATGTAACGTCTGCAAGATATAGGTTCAATGGACATTTCCGCAATGTATTTCTGCAATGTATTTCCAATGTTAAATCTACATTTTGTGATGTTAATGCAATATTTACAATATTACAATTCGACGTTTCTGAGATGTGATCAACATTAATGTGCTGTATCTCTCTTTTTCTCTCTCTCCGTCTGCGCGTGACTTATGCTAAAAAAAGTATATATAATTCGATTAATTTTCATTTGCATTTTGTAAGTGCATTTTGTAAGTGTAAATTGTTAAAAAATATTGTCTAATTATATAATGACAGACTATATTAAACAATGAAAGATATTTTTTATCACTTTTTTCCATCTTAACTGAGAAGAAAGTTATAATTCAATTTAATGTTATTAGAACTCTACTTTTAAATTATAAAATTTTGTTATTTTTTTTTGTAGATGAAAACTTTTAATTTTAGAATTTTTGCTTTTATGAATATAAATTAATAAAAAAATGATTTTGTTGTAAAATTTCCTTGAAGACAATCAATTTAACTAAACAAAGAATGTAAAAACATTAAATTCTTGATTTATTCTTCTATAGCAGTTTCTTTATATTATATTTTATAGTATATTTTATTTGATGTTTCAAATAGAGAGCGCTAATGGTTTATACACGCGTGCTATTACGCATCAGTTTGACGAGCCAAATGCTTATGTTAGTACCAAACGAAATATGTGGCTAGAATCAGGTAGGCATAGTGAAGAGGCGTAAACCTTGTTTGCTCACAGTGCGCTGCTGTCAATGGTCCATGCGAATGAGACTCCGCCTCTTGACGTAGCCAGCCTCCTCCCTCAGCCCACCGACTTTATCGTTCAGTTGTGCTTAGTCGAGCGTGCGCACGAATGTTTATACGCACGTGTAAGTGAATGTGCTCTAAGCACACAAGAACGTTTTAGAATGCATTTTGTGTGATTACATCCACAGTCAATCGGTTAGTCAATCATTTGTAGCCTTTTCAAGCTGAATTCTACTCTTTCTTATATCGCTCTTTTTCTCTGATATTTCTTCTTCTATTAATTATTTTATATACACGTACAAATATATCATAGTGAACATATAATGCACACTAAACACAAAACTTAATTTATTTGTGAACGTTCTTTAAATTTAACTGATTCATTAAATACACATATAAGTAAACCACATTATTATAAGTACGAATGTGTGTATATGTAGAACGTTATACTAAGACGGCTGGGATTGTGTATACTCTAAGAGGGGTAGAGGGATTTTCTTATTTCTGCTCTGGTAAATCTGTCGCTCCAGTCAGTGAGGCAGCGAAGGGCAAGCTGCGCGCCGTTGACCGTCTCTCTGCTGCTTTTTTCGTCTACTCAGCTGCCAATACTACGATTTGTGGTACATAAGCAAGACGGTGCGGTATAACAGTTCGCGAATCTGTTTTTTTATGCTCGTGTATTTTGTTATATTTTTTATTACATATCATACATCATTATTATCACATATTCTGCACTTGCAGATTTGATAATATAAAAAAATTAGACCTATTTATCACAATGATTATTTCTATTTAACACAACGTATATATACACTCTGTAAGCTTCGTTGTAACTACTAAATTACCATGATTAGGATTTCCTTTGGATTTATCGTAAATACGATATTTATATTAAACATATATTTATTGAAATCTTTTTGATAACACGCTTTTTCATAAAATTACGTGGGCAGTTTAAAAAACATTTATTTGTAAGTTAGAAGATTTGAATAAGTATGCATATATCGTATGTTACATAGGATATATTTTTAACTGAGTTGGACATCAAATTTGTAAATAATAGTGTTACTTATATTACATACAGTATCAAAATTAATAATCGATTATATAAACACCTTTTCTCTTTCTTAATAAATATCTTCTTAATGTATATACAATTAATAAATAAGGATTTGTAATTTAGACAGAATTTGCAATTCTGTCCGAAATACGGAAATATTTTTTCATCATCAAACATTATTTATATGTTTTATAATACTTTTTACGTTGAATTGTTTGTAATGCATAAATTGTTTTTGTACATTATACGGATTGTGAACACTGTACATAAGACATTAAAATTGCATTTGAAAAAGTTTAACGACGATAGGATTACTAACGAAACTAACTTCTTTCTCTTGAGTGCATTTTGAAAACTACAGACGGAATATTACAACTCCAGAGCTATTGCCTTGTATGTAACCGACGGCTGCTGGATTACAATCGTCTTTCCAATGGATCCGATTATACCAGGTAAAAATAACTTAAATGATGTTACTAAAAATATTAAATTATGTTAATGTATATGTACAATATTTATGTAAATATATTATTATCACACGTATCAATATTTATCACGTATTTATTGCATTGGGATAAAAATGAAATAGCCAATCATTTGATTTAAAAGAATTCAATTTTTATAAATGTAAAAACGTCAGACAATATTTTAAAATATTTTTAATTAATATTCACTATTTTAAAAACAATTTTAAATATTAACTATATTGCATTATAGGAAACATAACAGTAAATCTTCTATATAAATAGCAATTCAGAATCTACAAAGATAAAACGGAAAAAATGAAAAGCATTGCTAAATTCTATTTTAATTTTTGTTTCTATTTCATTTACAAAATATTACATAATAAACATAAATTTTATTTATGATTATTATTGTTGATTGTGACAGTAGGGTGACTGTGACATCATGACATATTTGAACGAAAAACAAAGGAGGATGTTAAAAAGTCGATTTCTGCCCAAAAGAATGTAAATAAAGAAAATAATGTTTCTTTATAGATTTTGATCTCCTGTATATGATATAATTATTAAAAAGTTTGTAGCGTTTGGGGAACCCTTCAAAGATTGAGAAAGAACATGATGTATTTACCCAAATTTTAATATTCTTGTCTAATTTTCAAGGTGGTCTCCAAACATTACGAACTTTTTAATAATTTTATCATATCCAGGAAAACAAAATCTACAAAAAATACTATTCCTTTTACTTACATCTTTTCAAACAAAAATCTCCCCTTTTTAACATTCTCTTTTTGTTATTTTTACCAAGCAGACAAAAAGTAATATCTCGTTTGTATAGAAGAAATATTTATGGATTTGTAAAAAATTATAAGTGCGTTTGTAAACAAAATTTTTGTTTACAAACAAAGCTATCAAAAACTTCTGAAAGTTTGTATACTTATGTTTACAATTAATTTTTTAATAATAATTTCACTATTAACTAATTGTAAGTTCCTTGTTGTATTTAGAAATTATAAGTGATTAATTAAGAATAATCTGCAATAAAAGTTATATTAATATTTCTTTTTTGAATTTTAAATGAAAATTATTAATATCCTTCAACTTACTTATAAAAGTGATATCTAGAAAAAACCTACTTCTAATAATAAATATAATATAATAATAATTCAGACATTAAAAATTTTATCCCATTATTTAAATGAGCTCTACATTTTCATCAATATGTATTCTGTTTTATTTTTCCTAAAATTTAAAGGTAATAATAATCCTTAATCATTACACCATGAAACATTTTACAATATGAATACGAATAGTTGTTTTCGGTGTATTTTTGCGTGCTGATCACGATTCGTTGGCAAAAGTTGGCTATTCTGTCACAATTTTGAGAAAAATAACAAGAAAAAAGTAAAAAAACGACGATTTTTAGTTGGTATTCAACATGTTGCAACACCGGTAGTTAGTTTTTATACTTAATTTCATTAATGCCATTAAAGTATCAACTTTTAGCTTTAAAATTGCATTTTTGTTCATTTTGATATTTAATGATTTTTTTGTTTCCAAGCATAGTGAAAATATAGATAGTTCTTTTTCAAGTAATAGTATACGACAAATATTAATAATAGTATTTTAAAGAAACTAAATATTTATGAACATTTTGAAATGTTTATTAGATTGTTCTTTAATGGAACACTGATTATCGTTATTTATAATGTGGCTTTATATTTTGTCATAGTTTCCCCACATATTGTCACAATGATTATATAGGGTAATCGTGACAAATTATATATATACAGGTTAACAATTTTTTCATATTTAATTTAAATTGACTATATTATCTGATTAATTTGCATTAAAAATATAAGATTTCTATAACATTTACAAAAAATATTTTTCAAATTAACCAGTAACAAAGTTACTTAAGTTTAATTTAATTTATTTTTTGCCATAATTATCTACGTTTCTACTTTAAAAATATAATTATTTGATTATTTAGAGAAACCGATTATTCTTCTTTCTTCCTTTATTGATTAATAGAGGAAGGTTACCGATACCGACATACCACTTTGTTTTTAGACAATATTTCTTAAACAAAAGGTAAAAATACAACTTCGAAAACATAAATACAAAGTAAAAAGTATCTTCTATCAGATAGTATAAGCAATTTTTATAATACTGTTAGCAATTTTGCAATAATTAAGTTTTTCGTAAGTTATGCAAAAATGAGCATCTGACAAAATTTGCTCCAAAACTGACACAGTAGGCAGTAATGCTATGTATTCCTATTCTTTTTCTTTTACAAGAATTATCTCTGCAAGGTACCTACAAGTGAATATATATAAAATTTTTCAGAATCATTTTACTTCGTTATAAAACATTTTTATTGAATTATATGCATATTTATTTTATGCTGTTCTGCAAGATGCAAATATGTAACGCGATAGTTTTTCTAGAGTTGTTCCATATATGCACGATTGTTTTCAGCTCCAATAGACTTATTTGACACTATAAAGCAACATTATAAAGATTAAGTTAGCTCATGATCTGTTTTACGGACAGGTGTGTCGGTTTACATTGCACCCCAATTTTAAATTAAAAATCGTATTATGAAAAGACCAAGAGAAAAAATAATATAAATAAAACTTATTTCGGAAACTACAAGTATTTAAAATGACGTAATATTATCAATAATATA